GGGGCCTGAGCGTGCATAGTGACATTTGGGGGGCCTGTCGGGCTCTGCTGTTCTGCACGTGTGTCCAAGGCCCTCGTGTGGGTGCAGGATGGACTTTCCCACCAGCCATGGAACGGGAAGGACACTGAGCCCAACCCACCCCCCTCCTCTTCCCCCGCCCCTCGAGTGACTGGTTGCTAGGGGAACGTGAGTCCCTCGAGCGTCATCCTCGTGCGCCGGAAGAACGCTTCATTCTGCCGGAAGTACGTTGTGTGTGGTGGAAGGCGACGAGGCGGAAGTGCCGTTTGGAGGGGAGCGATGGGTTGCGACGGGGGGACCATCCCCAAGAGACACGAATTAGTGAAAGGGCCTCGAAAGGTCGAGAAGGTAGGAGTGAGCTCTGGGGGTCGGCTGGCCCGGTCCGCGCGGAAGGCAGGAGGCGGGAGGGGAGTCGGCGTCCCCGGGATGTGGGAAGCCTGGGCAGTGAGGGGAGCGGGGGCTGCAGTCCGGGTTTGAACAGGAAGCCAGGGGACCCTCCCAGTAAAACACCTGGAGACCCGCGCGCTCATCCTGTTAGTGACTCTTAGGGAAACAGCCCCGAGTCTCGGAGGTGGCGAAGGAAGCTCCCGCTCCACCGGGTCTCTCTGTGTTTTTCCCTGGGGAGATTAGGTCTTTAACTGACACTGACCGAGCGGCAACTTTTTGTGGCTCCTTGTTATGGGAATGAAACTAAATATTATGCCAGGAAAACGGGCAGAGAGCGCCACTTACTGCATGTGTAACCCACACACCTAGTGTGGTTCACTGTCCCATGCAGTGGCGCTTAGACCACAGCAGCAGACACGACCAAGAGACCTCTACAGCGTGGGCTGAGAGCCACTGGCTTTTAGCTCAAAGGGTAGAGGCTCCTATAGTAAGCTACAGAGGTCCCCGGTTTAAATCTGCCTGGTGGCGGTTACAAGTGGGGGCTGGTCCCTCCAGAGACTACAGGTTGAAAACCACTACTCTGGAAGACACTCTCCCTGCTGGCCCTCCTTGAACCTTCCTAGTTGATTTTATAATCTGAAATTCTGATCCTGCAGTGGTAACACGAGCAGATGAACATTTATTCCTGTCAGGTGTACTGTTGAACCAGTGGGGCTACTCGCATGAGTAAGGGTTAACAGGATTGGGCCCCAAGTCAGACATAGGCAAAACACTTGTTTCCTAGAACACTAAATCAAGGCCTAACCTAGCAAATGTTCAGGATCTTCACTGAAAGGTTTTGAACAAACATTTTACAGTAGAGTCCCAATTATCCGACCTAAACAGGACCAAAAAGTGGTCAGATTAACGAAAATATTGGATAATACAGAGTACAGAACATTACCTGTAGTTGATTCGGGTGCTCTGGGCGAAGGGCAGCAGCACTTTGGGGATGTTCCACTTGGAAACCGCCAAGGAGGGTGGCGGCAGCAGAGCCCAGAGTGACGGGGCAGCAAGTGGGGCCATTCTCCTGGCCTGCACTTGGGGTCTGCAGAGAGAGAAGGGGCCAGGCAAGAATGGGGACCCTGGGAGGCAGGGACAGGGGAGGATGGGGACAACCCCAGCTGCACTGTGACCAAGCAGCACTGGCAGGAGGCTCCGACCTGCGGGCTGCAATTCAAGGGACGTCAGCGGCTGGGGCAGGGGAAACGGGCCTAATCATATGGTGGATCACATGGCGGGCGGCCGGCAGCAGCGTGGGGATTTAGTTTTGCTTTCAGGGGCTGCCGCTAGAACCTCTGCAGCTGGGGAGGCTGCATGTGGCATGGCAGTGCAGGGGAGCTGGCCTTGGGGGCAGGGCTGGCCTGAGCCGTTTTGGGTGTAAACGCACCTTAATTGAGCCAAACGGGGCACTAAAATCAAGTCAATGCACATTTATATCCTACACATTTTACAAACTCGACTACTTGAATACAGGGCCGGCTCAAGCCATTCTTGCAGCCCCGGGCAGCGGGCACGTGATGCATGTGTGGCTCTGCCCCCGGGCACATGGCGCATGCGCTGCCTGGCCACGGCCGCTGGCGCGCAGCCCGGGGCCCAACCCTGGGGTGCACGGCACATGTGCTTCCAAGCCCGACCCGGCCACCACTGCTGGCGCGCAGCTTGGGGTGGGCCGTGCCTGGCCGTGCAGGGCCCTGCGGCCGTGTGGAGAAGGGCACTGCTGGCTGGCACTGTGAGGATGGGGGAAGCCAGTGCTGTGGGAGCCGGGTGAAGGGCCCCTCCCCCCCCCTTACGGCTGCCATCAGGCGCCCCGCATCGGTTGGCGCCCCGGGCAGCTGCTTGGCTCGCCCACCCCTTAGTTCGGCCCTGTTTGGGGGTCGCATACTCGTGGTACTCTAGGCTTGCTGGGAATTTCTTGCCGCACCCCAGGATTTGTTCGGCTATGTCGGATAAGCAAAGGTCGGATAAGCGGGACTCTAATGTATTTGGTCAATTTAATCCCAGAGAGTTGCTTTTTTGTGGGGTGTGGGTGCTGGTTTCAAATTTAAAGGTTTGAATGATAATTCTGACAGTGGGAAAATCTGAATAATAAACTAGTATTTTTTCCTCCTTCAGGTTGACAAAAATGCAGAATTAATAGCTCAGTGGTACTACTGCACACTCAGTCAAGAACAGTTAAGGAGACCAATTGTAGCCTGTGAGCTCGGCAGGTATGATTGTTTTTTTTCTTCAGCTTTCTTGGTAAAAATATTAATTTTTGAATAAATGTAGTTTATGAAAGACACAGAATTTTTACTACAAATTTTATGTTGTAGGCTGTATAACAAAGATGCCATTATTGAATTTTTACTGGACAAGTCATCTGATAAATCCCCTGTGCAGGCTGCATCATATATCAAGAGCATTAAGGTGAGTGGATGCCAAAATTTAAATCTGATTCTAAAAATCAGGCAATTAAAAGCTTAATTTTTCAAATTCTGTTCTGGCACTTTTTCCTGTTCAAAATAAAACTTTAGCAAATAATTTTACAAAATCTTGTATAGCATGTAAATCTCATCCCCAGGTAGCCTGTTAGTTTGGTAGCAGTTGTATTGGCTTACAGCAGTGGTCTCCAACCTTTTTACACCCAAGATCACTTTTTAAATGACAGACCGAGCCAAGATCTACTGCCCCGTCCCTTCCTTGAAGCCCCGCCCTGTCTATTCTCCTCCTCTCCATCACTTGCTATCCCCAGTCCTTACTGCTGCTTTTTTTTTTTTTTTAATTCTTCTGTAGGAAGAGGTTTTTCCAACATTTGGCCTGTCTACACTGGACCAAATGTCAGAAAAAAAAACCCTTCTTTTGGAAGCCACCTTATTCCTTGTGGAAAGAGGAATATAGGGGTGACCAAAAGAGCCTGTTTGCTCTTCCACTAAAAAAGTGGAAGAGCAAACGCAACCCTGGATGCAGAAGAGTTTTTCTGGGATATCTCCAGAATCCTGAAAAACTCCTGCAGTATAGCTAGACCCTTGCTGTGTTGAGAGAGGATTTGTGGAGTCTGGGGTGGGAATGAGGGATTTGGGTGTGAGAGAGGATGAGAGGTGCAAGCTCTGGGAGGAAATCTGGATGCAGGAGGAGATGGAGAAGGGGACACTGGCTCGGGGAGGGGGCTCCAGGCTGGGCAGTGTTGGGGTACTAAGCAAGCCACAGGCTTAGTATAGCTAGACCCTTGCTGTGTTGAGAGAGGATTTGTGGAGTCTGGGGTGGGAATGAGGGATTTGGGTGTGAGAGAGGATGAGAGGTGCAAGCTCTGGGAGGAAATCTGGATGCAGGAGGAGATGGAGAAGGGGACACTGGCTCGGGGAGGGGGCTCCAGGCTGGGCAGTGTTGGGGTACTAAGCAAGCCACAGGCTTGCTGATGTGAGGGTGCAGGAATTTGAGTTGGGGTATGTGAGGGGCTGAGGGCAGGAGGTTCCAGTGTTTGATAGGCTCAGATCTAGGGTCTGGGGAAGGGGGAGTGCAGGAGTGGTTGTGGCCAGATGGGGGTTTGTTGGCCCGGCTTCATTTTTAAATAGAATACTATGTTAAACACAAAAAGTTTCTGCATTGTCTTTATTTATGAGAATGGCAGGGAACCTGCCTTGAGTCAGGGGTCACTGACCCATAGAAAAGTCATTTGGGAGCAGGGGACACAGTACTGGGGAGGAGTGCTAGTGGGTTCTGGAGCAAGGAACAGGGTGCCAGTGGGGCAGGGGAGAGCTGGGGCAGGGAACAGGGTGCCAGTGGGGACAGGGGAGAGGGGGCGGGGTGCCAGGACAGGTTCCTGCAGCAGGGGACAGGGTGCTGGGGGGGAAAGGTTTCTGCAGAGGGGAGCAGGGAGACAGGTTTCTGTAGTAGGAGACAGGGTGCCAGAGGGAACTGTTTTCTGCAGGGGGGGCTGGTTTCTTCAGCAGGGTGGGAGGGCAAGGGAAAGGGAACAGGTTTGGGGCAGAGGAGAGGGAACAAGGTTGGGGGCAGGGAGTTTCCTACACCAGCCGCGGAGGGAAGCCTCCGACCCGCACTCCCTCTGGACTGACCGCAGGGCAGCCGGGCTGGAGCAAAGAAAAGCGGCTGCCCGGCCAGTTGGCCATGGTGCTCAGTCAGGGTGCCACCAAGCTCCACATGGGCAGGCGCAGAGGGGAACGGCCACATACTCAAATTGCTAGGCACCCGAAGTCGGTACTGGTCTGAATAAATGGAACAGATTTCAGTCACTTTCTTCTATACCAGTGGTTCTCAACTAGGAGTATGTGTACCTCTGGGGTACTCAGAGATCTCCTAGTGAGTACTCAACTCATTTAGATCAGTGTTTCTTGACCTGGGGCTTGCAGCCCAGACTGTGGTTATAGGACAGGTTTTGGTTGGGGTGTCACAAATGCAGAGCTGGCATTAGAAGGTGGCATGCAAGGTTTTGCCCAAAGCCTCCTTCTAATGCCCAAAGCCCATACGATAGGTTCCCTCTCCACAAAACTAGCTATTCCTCATTTTGTAGTTGCACATTTTGATTTTTCCTTTCTAACTGTAGTATTTTATATTTGTCTTTGAATTTCATCATTTCTTCATACATTTTCCTTTATGGCTCATTATATCTTCAAGAATTTCAGTACTTCAGTCATGGGTGATGGGTGAAAGTCTAGCTGGGGAAGGCAAGCCCCAGCCCTGCCTCTTCTGCCCGAAGCCTCTCCCCATCCATCCCCAGCCCAATCCTTCCTACCTACATGAAGAGCCAGGGCTGCCATGCTGCAGCCCCGGCCCCAGCCTTCCCCGGTGACTGGGGGAAGTCAGGCTGCTGAGCCACAGCCTCCGCCCTCCCCTTGCTGCCGGGGAAAGTCGGGCTGCTAGGCCGTGGCTCTAGCCCTCCCCTGTGGCCCCAGCCTTAGGTCGTTGGGCATGTAGGCAGTTTTGGGAGGGCTGTGCCTTCCCTTGCCTACGTTACCGACTGCCCATGGCTTCAAAATATCTCAAGCATCATTAGAAAACAATTTAAAAACATTTGTCTCTTTCAGAATGTAACAGAGCTGAACCTTGCAGATAATCCAGCTTGGAATGGTGATAAAGGGAATACGAAAGGTGATAAATATGATGACATCCAGTGTGCACGCTTTATTTGCCCTGTGGTGGGCTTGGAAATGAATGGAAGGCATCGGTTAGTAATCTACATGTAACTTTAATTGGAGTTTAGAACTGTATATATTGTAAAAATTATTAAAATATCGGGAGGGCAGAATCTGAACAGGAGTAAATTGTCATAATTACATTATGGGGCTATAATCCTTTTCCTACTGAAAGTCTATTCCAGAGCTCCTATTAACTTCAGTGGTTCAGGGTGAGCCCCAGGAAGTCTTCTAAGTAGACACGATAAATCAGTTACCAATGGATCAATCACTGCATTGTCAATCCACGGGATAAAGAAGACAAGCCCTTAGAAATGGAGGGCTGGAGAGAACCTCCGGAGGTCATCTGTGTGGAGGCAGGATTTAGTATATCTAAACCATCTTTGATAGATGTAGAATCTTAGGGTATGTGTACACTGCCACCCTAGTTCGAACTAGGAGAAATAACGGTAGTTCGAATTAGGAGCTTTAATTCAAACTACCTAGTCCATGCTGTGTGTAGCCGCAGGCAGGTAGTTTGAACTACGGGGCATTTAAAAAATGGCAGCGCCCGGGAACGTGTAAATGAAGCCCGGGATATTTAAATCCCGGGCTTCATTTGTAAGCTCGAATGCCTACGTTAGCCACCCTAGTTCGAACTAGGGTGGCAGTGTAGACATACCCTCAGAGTCGTTAATTCAGGTCTGGAAAGGACCTTGAGAAATCATCAAGTCCAGCCCCCTGCACTGTTGCAGGATCAAATAAACCTGGATATTGTCTGACAGGTGTTTGTCCAATTTGTTTTTAAAAGCTTTCAGTGATGGGGACTCCATGAACTCTCTTGGAAGCCTGTTCCAGAGCTTGACTACTCTGTAGTGAGAGAATTTTTCCTAATATCTAAATATCTAATATCTAAAGCTTCCTTGCTGCAGATTAAACCCATTATTTCCTTTTCCACCTTCAGTGAACATGGAATACTATTACTCCCATTTCTTTTTATATGCGGCCCCTAAAATATTAAAATACTTTTATCAGCTCCTCCCTCTGTTGTTTTTTTAACCGTTTCCCGTAAAACAGATTTCTAAATCTTTTATAATTTTTATAGCTTTCCCATGGACTCTTTCCAGTTTGCCATATTTTTCCTAAACGCTTTTAAGAAAGGTTTTGAAGATTGATAATGAGGTCACTTAGTACATGTTTACAGGGAGCATCTCACAAGTGTGAGGGGAAGCAAATTTTTAAAAGAAATTTGTTTGGAAACTTAACAAGTAGGTGATGGAGGCTGATGAGTCAATGGCTCATTAGTAAATGAAAGGTAATAAAATGAGGATAGATCATGAGGGGCCTTGAAAGTGAATACAGCTTATGTTTGATGTGATAGAGAAAACAGGACCCATGGAGGTATGCAAAGGAAGAGATTACATGGGTTGGGAATGTGATGGGCTAGGAATATGATCATTGCAGCAGCTACATAAGAGCGGCCATACTGGGTCAGACCAAAGCTCCATCTAGCCCAGTATCCTGTCTGCCGACAGATGCCCCAGAGGGAGGGATCACAACAGGTAATCCTCACATGATCCCTCCCCTTTCTCCTACATCCAGAGAAACAGAGGCTAGGGACACCATTCCTACCCATCCTGGCTAATAGCCATTGACGGACCTAACCTCCATGAATCTATCTAGCTCTTTTTTGAACCCTGTTAAAGTTCTAGCCTTCACTGCATCCTCTGGCAAGGAGTTCCACAGGTTGACTGTGTGCTGAGTGAAGAAAAACTACCTTTTGTTTGTTTTAAACCTGCTGCCTATTAATTTCATTTGGTGACCCCTAGTTCTTATATTGTGGGAATAAATAAATAACTTTTCCTTATTCACTTTTTCCACACCAGTCAGATTTTATAGACCTCTATCATATCCCCCCTTAGTCTCCTCTTTTCTAAGATTAAAAGTCCAAGTCTTTTTAACTTCTCTTCATATGGGACCCGTTCCAAACCCCTAATAATTTTTCTTGCCCTTTTCTGAACCTTTTCCAATGCCAATATATCTTTTTTGACATGAGGCGACCTATCTGTATGCAGTATTCAAGATGTGGGTGTGCCATGGTTTTATATAGGCAATAAGATATATTCTGTCTTATTCTCTATCCCTTTTTAAATAACTCCTAACATTCTATTTGCTTTTTTGACTGCCATTGCACACTGAGTGGGTGTTTTCAGAGAACTATCCACAATGACTCCAAGATCTCTCTTGAGTTGTTGTAGCCAAATTAGTCCCCATCATATTGTATATAGAGTTGGGATTATGCATTACTTTATATTTATCAACATTAAATTTCATTTGCCATTTTGTTGCCCAGTCACTTTGTTTGGTGAGATCTTTTTGAAGCTTTTCAGTCTGCTTTGGTCTTAACTATCTTGAGCAGTTTGGTATCCTCTGCAAATTTTTCCACCTCACTGTTTAGTCCTTTCTCTAGATCATTTATAAAAAAGTTGAATAGGATGGGTCCCAGGACAGACCCTCCTTAGGGGACCCCACAAGTTACCTCTCTCCACTCGGAAAACTTATCATTTATTTCTACCCTTTGATTCCTGTCTTTTAACCAGTTATCAATCCACAAAAGGACCTTCCCTCTTATCCCATGACAAGTTACTTTACTTAAGAGCCTTTGATGAGGGATCTTGTCGAAGGCTTTATGGAAATCTAAATATACTATATCCACTGTATCTCACTTGTACACATAATTGTTGACCCCCCCCTCAGAGAACTCTAGCAGATTAACAAGGCATGATTTCCCTTTACAAAAACCATGTTGACTTTCACCCCAACAAATTATATGCATCCATGTGTCTGACAATTTTATTCTTTACTATAGTTTCAACTGATTTGCCCAGTATTGACATTAGACTTACTAGTCTGTAATTGCCAGGATCGCCTCTAGAGCCCTTTTTGTTATCACATTAGCTATTTTTTAGTCATTAGGTACAGAAGCTGATTTAAAGGATAGGTTACAAACTGTAATTAATAGTTCTGCAATTTCCCGTTTGAATTCTTTCAGAACTCTTGGGTGAATGCCATCCAGTCCCAGTGACTTGTTACTGTTAAGTTTATCAGTTTGTTCCAAAGCCTCTTCTAATGACACCTCAGTCTGGGACAATTCCTCAGATTTGTCACCTAAAAAGAATGGCTTAGGGTTGGGAATCTCCCCAATATCCTCAGCTCTAAAAACTGAAGCAAAGAGTTCATTTAGCTTCTCCGCTATGAATTTATCATCTTTGAGGGCTCCTTTAGCACCCTGATCATCCAAGCGCCTCACTGGTTGTTTAGCCAGCTTCCTGGTTCTGATGTACTTAAAAAACATTTTACTATTACTTCTTGGCTATGTCTACACTGCAGGCTTTTTGCCCAAGAACAGATGTTCTTGCGCAAAAACTTGCAGAGCGTCTACCCTGCACACACATTCTTGCGCAAGTAAATTTACAGTGCAGCGTCGGAAAACAGCTTCTTCCGGAAGAGTTATTCTTCTCCCCAAGAGGATAAGTCCTCTTGCGCAAGAGCTCTTCCAGAAGAAGGCAGTGTAGACAGGCAACATGAATTTCTTGTACAAGAAACTCCTATGGCTGAAATGGCCATCAGAGCTTTCTTATGCAAGAGTGTGTCCACACTGCCATGGACACCCTTGCGCAAAAGTACATCTCTTGCACAAAAGCACATGGCAGTGTGGACGCGCTCTTGAGGAAGACCTTTTGCACAAGAACTCTTCCACAAAACAGTTCTTGCACAAGAAGCCTGCAGTGTAGACGTAGACTTTGAGTTTTTAGATAGCTGTTCTTCAAACTCCTTTTTGGCTTTTCTTCTTATATTTTTACACTTAATTTTACATCGTTTATGGTCCTTTCTGTTTTCCTCCCTAGGATTTGACTTCCTTTTTATCTGTCACTGCTTCTTTTACCTGGTGGTTAAGCCACGGTGGCACTTGTTTGGTTTTCTTATTGTGTTTTTTAATTTGCGGGTATACATTTCAGTTGGGCCTCTATTGTGGTGTCTTTGAAAAGTTTCCATGCATTTTGCAGATATTTTACTTTTGTCACTGTACCTTTTAATTTCTGTTTAACTTCCTAATTTTTGTGTAGTTCCCCTTTCTGAAATTAAATGCCACAGTGTTGGGCTGCTGAGGTGTTTTTCCCACCATAGTGATACTAAATGTTATTACATTATGGTGACTATTTCCAAGTGATCCAGTTATATTTGCCTCTTGAACCAGATCCTGTGCTCCACTTAGGACTAAATAGTCTCCCCCCTTGTGGGTTCCAGAAGCAGCTGCTCCAAGAAGCAGTCATTTAACATATCAAGAAATTGTATCGCTGCATCCCGTCCTGAGGTGACGTGTACCCAGTCAGTATGGGGAAAAGTCATGGTGGAGCATGTCAATTACTCAGCAAAGTGCTCATCATACAAATACCAGTGTTTGATTAGTTTTCTTAGGATATT